ATTGTGGCCCCGCCTCCCAGCCCGGGAGTCCCAGGTTGGGAGGTGGGGCCGCCATCGGTGCTGGGAGCCTGAGCGCCCCGGCCACTCTCCCCGCCCCTGCCAGGCTTCTACGCAATCACAGGCTCCTAGCGCCGATCGTGGCTCCACCTTCCAGTTGCTCCCCCCACCCACGCCCATTGCACATGTCTGGTATTCTCTGATTTTTTTTTTTTTTTTTACTGGACAGAGCCACCTGGCAACCCTACTCCCAGCCCATGCTGTAGAGGTCTCTTGATCTTAACTGTTGCTGTGTTCTAGGTACCACTTGCATTGGTCAGTAACCACACTAGGTATGTGGGTTACACAGTCACTCCCCAGGTTTCAAACGTCTCACTTATGAACATCAACTCATACAAACTAAAGCTCACCGCAGCCTCTGTAGAGCAGGCAAGAGGCATAGGTGATGGAGAGCAGTGCAAGTACTTGCCGGAGAATTCAGGAGGGGCACAGGGTGGTCGTGCAGCCAGTAGCTGGAAAGAAGGGGTGCTTTGAAGTGATAGTCTCTGCTTCCCTCCAGCCACTGGCTGCATGGCCACCCCCTGTTCCTCTGGGGTCCTCCAGCTCACTCTCATGCCACTCACTGTCTCCTGGTGAGCGGGGGCTGGGTGCAGCCCTCAAGGGGGAAGCGGGAGCTAGGGATGGAGCAGGCCACAGGAATCGGCGCAGAGCTCGGGGATGTGTGTGAGACCAACTTCTGGGCATCCCTCAGGGGTTCACTTTAGAATCTCTCACCTACCTCCTCTAGTTAAACGTGCCTTTCCTCAAACACCAGCATTCAGGGTTAAATAAAAAAACATTTTTATTATTTTTCATTGCAGTTATAACCTGTGAGTTCAGACCTAAGGCTTAAACAAATAAATAATTATCTTTTGCAAAAAAATAAAGGAACGTATGATTACTATTACTTAATGTCTTCTTTGTCAATATTTTAAGTACAAATTAATTCTCAGCTGAATACATATCAATGAAAGTAGCCAAGGATATTAAACAATGGATGGGGATTTTTTTTATATTATCCTTCTGAATTTGTGTGTCTGTAGCTTGTAGCTAAATTTCAAGAATTTTTACTTCAAACATTTAATGTTTGAGTAATCTTCATAAAACACTGATTCAAATGATTTTTCCATAATATTTTAGAGTATTTCCTCTTAATCCATTCAGTTAGATTATTTTGTATTACTGTGGTTACTAGTCTAATTATTAAAAAAAAAACACCTTAACAACAAATAGTCTAGTAGTGCCTTAAAGACTAACAAAACATGGGTTTTGCCCATGAAAGCTCATGATACCATCTATATGTTTTGTTAGTCTTTAAGGTGCTACTAGACTATTTGTTGTTTTTTAAGTTTTTCCTGTGACAGACTAACTCGGCTACCCCTCTGAAGCTAGTCTAACTATTGTAAGTAAGCTACAAGTGGTTGCTAGGGTGCGCAATACATAATTTACAAATATGCGTTTTCATTTTTGCAAAACGCTACAGTATAGTCTTCCAGATATGCACACATTTTAAAATTGGCCTGAGTATTCAAACAGTAGTAGATGAATGAAGCATATTTTATATCACTACAGCCTAGAAATGTCAGCTATATTCCTGTGCTATATAAGCTATTCTGTATTTTATAGAAGTGCCTTTAAACTTCCTTAAACAGGATTTGAAAAAAATTATTAGCCAGCGATAGGTAAGAAATACATCAGCGTCTGCATAAATTAAAAAGTCTCAGAGGGGTAGCCCTAGCATAAATTAAGCTTTCTTCTACCAAAATTAGCTTTCTG